CCCAGCAATTCCATTCTTGGTATTATCCAACAAGTGTGTACATATGTGCACCAAAAGATAGTAAAATTTTCAATGCCGCTTAATTCAACAGAGCCAAAAGACCCCAGGAACAACCTGAATGTTGAGCAGAAGAATGGACACGTTATGGTACACTGTCCCAGTGAAAAACTATACAGCAATAAAAATGAAGCAGTATTACATGACACAAAGCTGAGTCTCACCGAAGAAGAAAGACACAAAAGGAACACAGTGTGCATGATTGCATTTTAGAAACTTCAGAATGCATCTCTAGTGTTAGAAGCCAGGACTCTGGTAAACTTTGGGGAGTAGAAAGGATTGGCAATGGGCTTAAAACAGGGGCTTTTAAGGTGCTGATGACGTTCTGTTTCTTGACCTGGGTTGCCAATGTGCTTACTTTGCAAAATTCATCTGATGGTACACTTATGATTTGTGTACTCTTTGTATGTGAACTATGCTTTAAAAAAACACATTTATTTTTTAGTTTATTTTTTAAATTTCTTTATTGATTAAGTTATTACATATGTATCCTTATTGCCCCATTACTCTCTCAACCCCCCCACTCATGCCCTCAACCCCCCTGTTGCCCCATTACCCTCTCAACCCCCCCCACTCATGCCCTCACACCCCTGTTGTCTGTGTCCATTGGTTAGGCTTATATGCATGCATACAAGTCCTTTGGTTGATCTCTTCCCCTTACCCCCACCCTCCCCTACCTTCCCTCTGAGGTTTGATGGTCTGATTGATGCTTCTCTGTCTCTGGATCTGTTTTTGTTCATCAGCGTATGTTGTTCATTATATTCCATAAATGAGTGAGATCATGTGATGTTTATCTTTCTCTGACTGGCTTATTTCACTTAGCATACTGCTCTCCAGTTCCATCCATGCTGTTGCAAATGGTAAGAATTCCTTCGTTTTTACCGCAGCATAGTACTCCATTAACACATTTATGTTTTAAAAATCTCTGAAAACTCCTATAAACAAGATAGTTAACTCTTTTATTTTCTTTTTTCTTTTTGTTACACATAGATTTTATTATGATGGGATTTACTCTGAATCCCCTTAAAACTGATACACTTGGGTCACAAAGAGTCTATAAAAATCAATGGATGTACTTAATTTTATCCACTTCACCATATTGTCAGACACTTTAAGTGATTTCATTAGTCAAAGAATCCTCTCCAAATTATTTTATAATGTGAACAAGTCCCTTCTTAAAATTGCATTTTCAAGTGTGAGGCTTCCTCCAAGCAGGGATTCTTAAGCTTTGGAGAGGTTTTTAGTCTTTTGAGAATCTGGTGGCAGCCACGTGGGCTCTCCCCAAAAGAGTGCACAGATTCACACATGCACAGGAGATGGCATCAAATTCAAGGTCTGTGAACCAAAGACAAAGATCAGAAAAGAAACTGGCCCCTGATGAGGCTTTGTTGCCATTGTAAGGGCTTTGATGTCCACTCTGAGTCACAGAGGAGGCCACGGAAGGTTTTTGTTTGTTTGTTTTGTTTTTAAATTTTTATTGAATTTATTGGGGTGACTAGTTAATAAAATAATAATGTTTCAAGTGTACAATTCCATAATACATCACCTGTATATTGTATTGTGTGTTCACTACTCAAAGTCAAGTCTTCTGTCACTCTCTATCCCCCTTTACCTTCTCCCATCTCCCCCACTGTCCTCCTCCTCTGGCAATCACCACACTGTTGTTTGTGTCTATGTTTTTGTTGTTTTGCTTTATCCCTTCACCTTTTTCACCCAGCCCCCCAACACCCTTTCCCTCAGTCTGTTTGGATAATTCATTTTAGAGATTAAAAAACCAAGGCTAATAAGAGTTAAAAAAAAAAAAAGTCCTTGATCACCCAACGAAATCTCCCAAAGCCCAAACACATACCCTAACCCCTGGACACCAACCCCGTCCCCCCAGGGCCTCACTCCTGGGCACCTGTGATGATTTTAGCTATACTTCTAATATCTTTGAGGATCTGTCCCTTTTGTCTACAGCATATTAAAAACAGACACCCGCTCAGTACATATAAGGGAGAGATACCTAAAGCCAACTCTTTAATGACAAAAATGAAAATCAGAAGGCAGTAACTCAAACTACCTATTGGTCCAGGGCCACGTAGTGCAGGAAAAAATGCCATAGACACGGCCATAACTCATGAGAACCTCCTTGTATTTGAGCCGAGTACCAATGCTCGGATTCCCAGTCCTTACAGAAAGTTCAGCTCCTTGCTGTAGGCAGGTGGAGAACCAAATAGGTCACTTCAGATAGAGCTCCACCATGAGGTCAGAGTTGCAAAAGTGAACACAAGCCAAGGTGAGAGGCCAGAAGCCACTCTGCACACAGATCCAGGGGCTGGGCTCAGAAGAGCTCTGGCAGGCGCCAGGCCAGGCTGAGGCACAGCGCCCCCAGGAGCCCTGAGAGAAGTGGGATGGAAACCGGGCAGCTGGACTTGGTCAGAACCCACTCAATATTCAAGTGACCCAGTGAGAGTTAAAAAGGACAGATAAAGAGATCAGTCACAGGGCATCATAAGGAGTTTGGGACTTCATAGAATGAATACTTTTCTAAAACCTTTGTGAGCAAAATCACACATTCCATTTCTTGCCTTTCCAAACAATGGCAGGCAGAGCCTCGTCACCGAGCTGGGCTTCCTTGGACAAGGCAGAGGGTGGGGCTTCTGTGTCCCACGGGCCGCTGGGCCTCTCTGGTGTCCTACCAGGAAAGAAGGTGGCTGACACTATCCCTTTTGCTCAAAATGGGTCACCCTCCCTCTGTCCCCTGGGATGGGCGCACTCTGGAAGCTGGACTGGTCTGTTCAGCGGCCTCTGGGCAGGACCAGCAAGGTCTTGTGAGGACATGGAGTGAAGGATGCTCTAGAGGAGGCCTCAGCTTCTCACAGTCTTTTGAGGATTTCTTTGTGAGCTTAGAAAGCAAAGCCTCCATATCACCCCTGTTTTATTCCACAACAATACTGACCCCGAAGCTTTTGGACTGACTTTCTCCAGTACCATCTCAAAGGACAAGCATAGCTGATGGGATCAAAATGTCACGTGTGAATAGAATCAAAGGCAAATCAACAACATAGCAGCCGAGTTAGGACCCACGACCCAGGAGGAAAAAATGGAAGCAGGCTGGTCATTGAAGAAGGCAGGTGTTGTCCCAGCCTGGGGATTAGCAAATTTGAGGTTTGGGGAGAGCAAAATAGGGCGGGAATCTCAGAGAATGGAGAATTATAGTAATTATTCTTGATTCCTTTCTTTATGGTATGCACAATGAGTAAGTATTAAAATGGTCATTCGTTTTAAGTAATGGGTGGGGCCTCTGGTAAGAGAGGAGGGAAA